TGGGACCACACACAGGCTGCTGGGGCCACACGAGGAACACTGGGCCACACGAGGAACGCTGCGGGCCACAGAACACTGGGGCCACACGAGAATACTGGGGCCACACGAGAACACTGGGGCCACACGAGAACACTGGGCCACACGAGAACACTGGGGCCACACGAGAACACTGGGGCCACACGAGAACACTGGGGCCACACGAGTACACTGGGGTCATACTCACTGGCTCACTGGGCCGGCGGCGTTACGGGAAGCTGCTCATCCTATCGTGCCTGTTGCCTTGGTTACGTAATAATCTTTTAGGGTTGAAACGTTAACTATTCTGTAATTTGATCTAGCGTGTGAGTTTTAAATGCCATTAACCCGGTATCTTCCTCACGTACAGGTAGATAGTCTTACGGGTTATATATAATTAATTCCTGTTATATTTTTGTATGTTAATTAGATAGGAGTGTTATCTGACCTTTAAGTCTGATGTGGGTATTGAGTTTGTGTGAGTCTTGTAGTTTCTTCGCTTATTAATTCTTCTGATGATTACTTTAAAAAACACCCTAGCGCTAAATGGGGGAGTTGGTTGGGTTTGGTTAGGTATAGGTTAGGTTTGGTTATGGTTTGGTTAGGTTAGGTTTGGGTTGGTTTGATTATGTTAGGTTAGAGTAGGTTAGATTAATTTAAGTTTAAATTGGTTAGGTTTGATTTGGTTATGTTTGGTTGGGTTTAGGTTAGGTTCCACAAAATTTTCCCCAGGTAAGTAGATTCCCACATTGTCACTAATGAATAAATACACCTGGGATAATGACGTGACCAAGCCTTACCTTCCAATCCTCATTACCTTAATTAATTTATCTTTTAATACTTGTATTGTGGAGTCATTTATACGATCTGTTTACCTGTATTTAATTATTTTTTTTGTATTTAATGGGTGATAAAGGCAACAGGTAAGATGAGCTATGGTCCTTACCTGCCCAATGTGTTACCTCATTTAGTAGTGAACATTTACTGTACGAGACTTATCTCAGGTGTTTAAGTTGGATAGATTTTTTGATAGGAATTGTATTTGATAGACGTTAGTGTAATAGTCTTTGAGATAATGTATTTATATAGTAGAAAAGTGACGTAATACGATGCAATATCACCTAAAATCAGTATATTGTATTTCTTGGTATTTTCTCGTATGAAGTATTTATGAGGGATTTATGTTAATATGTTTCTTGTATGATTTTTATAACTCCTAGAAGATTTTTTGGTCAATATTAAAACGATTATGAGTTTTGGAGTTTGGAGAGAATGAATGTCTACAGCTGAGTTAGGTAGAGTTGATGGAGTGACTGGTACTGGTGTTAAGGTACTGTGCTGTATGGTATTGACGTGGTCTGTATGAGTGAGTGAAGGGGTGATGGAGGACGATCAACCCACGTTAGAACACATAAGATACCCCTCCAGTATTACCATCTCGACGCTTGTGTTATGTTTGTCATGCTTAATATAACGAAGTGAACCGTAGGAATAAAATAACAGATACACGAACTCTAGATATTTACGCAGAAACTAAAAGAGAAACATTCATATGTGTATTTCTCTGACACGTGGTATTGATGCATGGTCGTGTGTGGGAGAGCACAATTTAAACTAACTGTTCTCACCATCAGACACAATAATGGTGATCATATAGTATAGATAGCCCCGTAAACCCACATCTCACACAGGCAGTCATGCGTTCACCAACCCCCCCCCCCTCTTCCCTTGCCCCTCCTCTTCACCCTCTTCCCTCTTCCCCCCTCCCCTCATCACCCCTCCCTCTTCCCCTCCCTCCCTCCCCCTCGCGCCGTACTGTACTCCATCCCCCGTCAGTACAGTACACCTTGATTAATTACCGATGGCGACTCTACACACTGATGATGATGACCTGATTTCCGTCTTTATTTCCAATTCGGGACAATAAAATACCATGAAACAGGATTTGATTGATTACTATTGGCATCTGTACTGAGTGACGATGTAGTGTTTTTGCCTTCTCTTTATTATCCTTCTGGGAAATAAATTGTTGTGAAATAGACTTTGATAATGGTGTTTCTATACAGTGACTTCATGTGAATGTTTTTGGGTTTTTTTTTACCGTTCGGGGAAATAAATTGTGAATTACGTGAGTATTTATTAATGTGGGCGTGAGAATTATTTTTCTTTCTGGGTTTATTGATGAGTTTGGGAATGTTTAGCTTGAATTTATTTTTGTACTTTAGATATTGTTGTTGTTTTTGTTTATAGAGTTATTATTATTATTATGTATGTGTTCTGAAATGTTGCTGTTGTGGTTGTTATGAGTTATTATTATTATTATTATTATTATTATTATTATTATTATTATTATCATTACTATTGTCATTAGTGTTATTATTATTTTTTGATTAATAGTAATATTTTATTATTACCACCTAATCCAACTTATGACGTCAATAATAATAACATCATTCTATACAAGTTATTGATTCGTACTGTACACACAACCCTTATGACCTTAAACCTCTTGGACACGCACACACACACACACTCACACGCTTCAGCAGACACCTGGCCCTAGAGCATACACTACAGTCCCCCTACACCTGAGTGCTCTGTGGTATAGATTATTGACCTGTTGTACCTATTCTTTCATTTATCATGTCTATTGTTCCTATTCTTTTATATAAGGAGACATGAAGAGAAATAAATATCATGTCTACCTCTTGTCCTTTTCATGTTAATATAGAAATAGACAGGAGTAATTATCATGCCGGTAGCTTTTGTCTTTTCATGTTGATATAGACATAGAGGATGGTAATTACTGTATCATGCCTGTTGTTACTGTACCTATCATGTTAATATATAGATGAAAGGGTTGATTGTTATATCAGTCAGGGAAAGTCACTGATGTTATCCACTGGAGCCAGACGACCTTGGTGGCTCCTGTGTAATTACTGTGGTGGAGGGAGGGGCTGTGTTGGTGTCATCTGGGGGCTGTGTTGGTGTCATCTCTGGGGGCTGTGTTGGTGTCATCTGGGGGTGTTGGTGTCATCTGGGGGGTGTTGGTGTCATCTGGGGGCTGTGTTGGTGCCATCTAGAGTGTTGGTGTCTGGGGGGCTGTGTTGGTGTCATCAGTATAACCCGTTAAATGCGAGTTAAGGGATTAGGATAAGGGGCGTTGAGGGTTAGGTGGGATGGGGAGTAAGGGGAGGATGGGAGATAGGGGTGGGGTCAGGGTGTATGGGCCAGTCGGCCTCCCTGCAGTATCCCTTTCTTATGTTCTTATGTATAGGGGGGGTAGGAGTCAAGAGGATACGGGTGAGGTGGGGGATGCGGAAATGAGAGTTGAGGGTGAAAGAGGATGGGATAAGGGGGGATGAGGATGACGGTTGGATGAGGGTGGGTGAGGGGGGCTAAGAACAAGAGGAATACAAAATACACTGCTTGGCTGACTCCTGACAGTGGGTGGGTGAGCTGACGGAGAAGCATAGCGATGAAGGACGGCGGTGTGTGGGTGTGACTCCGACTGTACTGAGAGAGAGAGTCACATGTACCCACTTTTAACCTCCAGTGACCGAGACAGCAATAGATTTGTGCTTGTGCAGGTTAACGCTGGCGTAAGTCACCCATTACAACCCGCGGCTGTAGAAGACATTGGTACCTACAGAGATATACCCTGTAATACATAATCGGGTACAGTAGCTACAACCTCACACGTTTAAACTACAGTGGAACAATACAGCAATACAGTCTAGTGGTGATATCGGCAACTGACATTAACAGTAAAGTCTAAAACAAAACATTAACTTCCATTACAAACATAGTGACTAATCTCTATATAAACCAACAATAATAAGTTACTCAGGGGCTGTTTATTATTCCCCTCAAACCACAAACAAGAGAAAGTGGCCTGTACGTCTGTCTGTCCTCAGGGATACTTATTCGTTCGTGTATTTATATTGATTTATGTCTCTCTACCGGCCGCCATGTTGGAACACCTCACTACCCTATAGTCCCCGTCGCCTATTGGTACACCTTGTAGTGTCTCATCTCGACCAATCAACTTGTGTGAATTGTTGTAATTGGTCAGGAAGTCACAGGTATGTAGGGATTGGTTGATTGGCCAATTATTGAATATAAACTCAGTCAATCACTCAGTCAGTCAGTCACTCACTCAGTCACTCGCTCACTCACTCACTCACTCACCAAAATGCTTAATGGCTTCAATTTATGGTACCGTTAGTGACGCCGTAAGAGTATCTGGTTATAATTATACGCTCTGAAGTGTGTGTGTGTGTGTGTGGTGGTAGGTATCATCTTGTGGTGGCTGTGCGAAGTATCGATTTACACCATATATTAACTTGTCGGATCTGAAGTTGTCTTGTTCATGGAGATAGATGGGAGCTCTCTCTCTCTCTCTCTCTCTCTCTCTCTCTCTCTCTCTCTCTCTCTCTCTCTCTGTTTTCTTGTGTTTCTCTCTCTCTTTCAGTACGTACATACACATATACGGTTACCTCCTTGCTTACTTATATGAAAACACACACACACACACACACACACACACAGAGCAGTATTTTCTTTGCTATCTTTAGTAATTGGGATTTATTATGATCGATTATTACGGTATATTTCTTATAAAACCTTTACGGTGATAAACTACCACAACTGCACACCAGACGAGGTCAAGCTTGGTTAGTGGGTCGAGTGGCTATTTGGCAGTTTGGAATAATAATAATAATAGTAATAATAATAATAATAATAATAATAATAATAATAATAATAATAATAATAATAATAATAATGCCGGTAATTATTATTATTATTTTAAAGCCTTAACAAAGATACCGTTGGTTATGATAATGTAAATAATAATCATTGATAAAAATAACTGAAACACAAGTAGCAGATAGATACAATTTTTTTTATTACTTTTTCAATAATGTGTAACAAACCTGTAAGACAAACCAACATATAGAGACGTAACGTAACATTGTACTCACCTGAGATAACTTATCAGGTAGAGCGAGGGTCCGGCCACACCAGCTGAGGATGATGACCAGGGCGGCCACACTGTGTACTTGTCTCATGTTTTCCTTCACCAAGTAAGAGGTTATATCACTTTAGTCACCGGCGTAAGTTTCCTCGAGTCACCAGTCGATGTTTTGGTGAGTCTCGAGCGGAAGTTTCCTAGTCACCAGCAAAAATTTCGTAAAGTCACCCTCAGAAATCTCCATAAGTCATTTGGAGAAATCTCTTTTACAATACCGGTCGAGGATTAGTTTCTGTATCCAGTTGAAATCCCTCAATAAGTCGGCAGTTGAAATGTCCCTTAAGTCACTGGCAGAAGTCTTTATAAATCCCTGGCAAAATTCTTTTAAGTTACTGGCATAAACGTCTTTTAAACCTGTGGAGGAAATGTCTTTTTAAGTTACCAACAGGAATATCTTTTAGCCAAGGGGAGGTCTTCTTCAGTCAGTGGTGTTAGCGAGAGACAGACGCTAAATGGCCAAGAGATCTGGACTTCATCCTTACTGGAGCGCGCGAGGCCTTAGTAGTACCGTCAGCGAGTGAGGGAGTCTGTGTGGGTGTGTCAATAGACGTTTGAGATCGTGGGCGCTGGTGTGCTCTCCTCGCCTCCAGGGAGCTGACTGGGTGCTCAAGCCGTGTGTCGCGTTATGTCACTCACTCTCGATAAGGTCCGCTAGAGGAGTTAAGTTGTCGACCCTCACTACCAGGTGTCGCTTGCAGGAGTTGGGGTGAGAAGATCTGAGGGTTATCTGTGTGGTGGTGGGTGGCGGGGGGTGTTGGGGGCGTTGGTAGGTGGTGGTGGGTGGCGGGGGGTGTTGGGGGCGTTGGTAGGTGGGGGCCGGGTGCCCCCGGTTGTGTGGGTGGGGGGGGGCCGGTTGGTGGGTCGTTGGCGTGCGTTGATGGGTGGGGGCGTTGGTGGTGTGGGTGGGGTTGTTAGAAGAGTAGGTAAGGGTGTGGTTGGTTTAGGACGTTGATAAGTGGGTGGTGATGGGGTGGAAAATGGCTAATGGTGACAGATATCGAGGAGTAAGGAGGTGTGTGTGTGTGTGTGTGTGTGTGTGGTGGAGGTGGATGAGTAGATGGTGAGAGTGTTGGAGAGAGGAAGGGGTGTAGGTAGAGGGTGAGGGTGTTGGAGAGAGGAAGGGGTGTAGGGGGGTGAGGGTGTTGGAGAGGAAGGGGTGTGAGTAGGGTGAGGGTGTTGGAGAGAGGAAGGGGGTGTAGGTAGAGGGTGAGGGTGTTGGAGAGAGGGGGTGTAGATGTGATAGTGTTGGAGAGTGTGTGGGGTGTGTTGAAGTGTGAAGGAGAGGAAGAAATGTACAGTAGGTGGATGGTGCCATGATGGTGTGGGAGTGTGAGGGAGGTGGTGCAGGTGGGTGATTGTGATGGTGTGGGAGTGTGGGGGAGGTGGTGCAGGTGGGTGATTGTGATGGTGTGGAGTGTGGGGAAGGTGGTGCAGGTGGGTGATTGTGATGGTGTGGGAGTGTGGGGAGGTGGTGCAGGTGGGTGGTGTGATGGTGTGGGAGTGTGAGGAGGTGGTGCAGGTGGGTGATTGTGATGGTGTGGGAGTGTGAGGAAGGTGGTGCAGGTGGGTGATTGTGATGGTGTGTGTGGGTGGTGCAGGTGGGTGATTGATGGTGTGGGGTGTGAGGAAGGTGGTGCAGGTGGGTGATTGTGATGGTGTGGGAGTGTGAGGAAGGTGGTGCAGGTGGGTGATTGCGATGGTGTGGGAGTGTGAGGGAGGTGGTGCAGGTGGGTGATTGGGTGATTGTGATGGTGTGGGAGTGTGAGGGAGGTGGTGCAGGTGGGTGATTGTGATGGTGTGGGAGTGTGGGGAGGTGGTGCAGGTGGGTGGTGTGATGGTGTGGGAGTGTGGGAGGTGGTGCAGGTGGGTGATTGTGATGGTGTGTGGCAGGTGGGTGTGTGGTGGTGTGGGGTGTGGGGAGGTGGGTGGGTGGTGTGATGGTGTGGGAGTGTGGGGAGGTGGGTGCAGGTGGTGATTGTGATGGTGTGGGAGTGTGAGGAGGTGGTGCAGGTGGGTGATTGTGATGGTGTGGGAGTGTGGGGGAGGTGGTGCAGGTGGTGATTGTGATGGTGTGGGAGTGTGAGGAAGGTGGTGCAGGTGGGTGATTGTGATGGTGTGGGGAGTGTGAGGAGGTGGTGCAGGTGGGTGATTGTGATGGTGGTGTGGGTGGTGCAGGGTGGTGAGGAGGTGGTGCAGGTGGGTGATTGGATGGTGTGGGAGTGTGGGGAGGTGGTGCAGGTGGGTGATTGTGGTGGGAGTGTGGGGAAGGTGGTGCAGGTGGGTGATTGTGATGGTGTGGGGTGTGAGGGAGGTGGTGCAGGTGGGTGATTGTGATGGTGTGGGAGTGTGGGGAGGTGGTGCAGGTGGGTGATTGTGATGGTGTGGGAGTGTGAGGAGGGTGCAGGTGCAGGTGAGGTGATAGAGGATCTAGAGCTTAGGAAATGAAGGTGGTGGAGACAGCCTGACCATCACAGGTGTACAGCGCTGGTGCATCTAATAACTGGCGTATGAGCCGTAATCCTAAGTATATCTTGAGGTGCTCGACCCAGGGGGATGAAGCTGGTCTCTGGTCACACTTGGTCTCCGATGGTCTGAAACTGGTGGGGGGGATAATCACCGCTGTACAGAAGGGGACCGGACCATGCATGTGTAAAATGATCCCAGAAACAGGTAAGTATCTACACCACCATCCGTTATGCTTAAGTCTACCGTGTAAGACAAAAAGTAGGGTAATGTGTGGGAAGGTTACCTGTGGTTCTCGATATGTCGTATATTATGTCGTAGTGAATAAAAAGTAAAGAAAGTTGAAGAATTAGGCAGAAGGGAACACATTTTATCAACACAATATAACTAATAGGTAAAGGTTTTTTGTTGGGAAGATTGACGACTGTTTACCGACGTGAGTTTTCATTTTGATTTGTGAGAAGAAGTATCCTTTATCATCCCAGTCTTTATTATAACATAGAGAATAATAACAGCTTGGAGCGTGATGCATTTCTTAGTTAATAATAACCTCTAAAGAATTAATTATCGTAAATGATCTATTAATAATATATAGGATACCATCTATTTAAGTACATAATCATACAGACTTATAATAAATGAGTATAATATCTATGAGTCTTTATCAGTAATAGCCTAACACATTATACACCTTATCTGTAAGTCAGTAACCAGTTCAGCGTCCACCACCCCTTAGTATACCGCACCACTGGCCTAGGGTTGAACCAGCATCTCGTGGGTTAGTAGCTCAAGTGTGGTGTGTGTGTGTGTGTGTGTGTGTGTGTGTGTGTGTGTGTGTGTGTGTGTGTGTGTGTGTGTGTGTGTGTGTGTGTGTGTGTGTGTGTGTGTGTGTGTGTGTGTGTGTGTGTGTTACGTACAGTTGTAACCAATGTATGAGAGGAGTCGACCGTAACGTGCTGTGTGACGTCTACCAGGAACCACTACATAATATAGAACAACGATTGAGCTTGATAGACGGTGAAGAGAGGGAGAGGAGAAAGGGAGAGAAAGAGGAGAAGTAGGAAGGGAAGATAAGGAAAAGGGGAAATAAGGAGGAGAGGGGGGAGAAGGAGGAAAGGAGAGAAGGAGGAGGGGAAAAGAGGAAGGAAACACAGCGAGAAAGGGAAAAGGAAATGATGGAAGAGATGACAGGAAGAAACAGAAGGAGAAATCAGGAATGTAGAATGAGGTAAAATATGAATAAAAGGAAGAAATTTGAGTTGAGAAAGTGAGAGAGAGGGAGAAAACCTGTATTTGTTTACCTTGCCACAGGGACTCAGGTAACTACACCCACATTTCTCTTCCCAGTAAAACCCCTCAATTATAATATATGTACACTAACTACCGCCAATGGTGGAGCAGTAAGTAACACCTTGAAGACGTAATGTTGGAGACGTGGGTTCGAGGGTGGGAGACGACTAGGGGGGTTATATCCTAGTTGGGTGTGTTGGCTTTCAAAACGGGTCATTGTCGAGTGGTTTTTGTTCTATAAACTATCTGCCTTACGGAACTACCACACGACGGGGAGATTATTGTGTTTGAGAATTATTAATTACATCTAAACATATCCTGAACTTAGCTGTATGACTTGATGTTGATTATACCTGTTGATCATTAAAATAAACAATTAATTCAGTCCACAAGGTAGAGAAAGTCCACAATATATAATCATTACCTGAAGGTTGGTTATTTCATGTGAAAAATGAATGCGAAATAGATCATAAACCTTGAGAATTTCTTGGTCATTTCTTCGCAGGTTCACCGAAATTAGGGTAAAAACGACTACTTTTGCCCTCCGGTGGCGTAGTTTTTCCCCCAAAAGCCCAGGGAAGGCCAGGGAATATTCCCCTAGTTTATGTTGACGAGTGGGGGGGAAGGGAAGGAAGGAGGGGAGATTTACCAGTAAGTCCAGTATACCTCGTGTTGGTGTTGATGTGTCTGGTAGTATTATTGTTAACACGTGGGGGACATACTCACTCACTCACACTCAGTCACTCACTCACTCACACACACACACTCATTCACACACTCACTCATTTTTCTGTGTTTAGGGGCACAGTTTGTACTTTCACCACACACTCTTACTACATGCCCTAACCACTAGTCCTCACCACACGCCCTCACCACACACCATCACCAGCCACCATCACTACACGCCCTCACCACACACTTGGCTCTGTGGCAGCGGCTAGACACATAGATCTGTCTTGATAGGCCTCAACCATCAACCCAATGGCGTCAACAATGCACTGTGACTCTACTACAACATGGGGGATTATCTCACCAATACTTACGGGTTACAAAAACAATCTCCGAACCTCTGAGCAGTGAGGCGTCGTGATCAGCAGGTGTCCAGGTACTACACCACGGCGTCTACCTGTCGGCTCCTCTATAGAGACAAGACACCGACGCCGCTATGTTTATATAACGTTATGTACTCCGTTATTAACACCACTATGATGACGTAACACCTGTAATTAAACGTTATTATGCTAAGAATATAGTGATTCATATAATACACTTTGTTTACATGTGTCAGCACCTGTTAAGGCCGTTAAAATATGATGAATTTACACACGTATTTTTTACTCAAACAGATGAACAACGGAGGAAGAACCTGAGCTATTGTGAAGAATATCTCAAAATATGTTTTCTTTGGGTAACTCTGCTATAATTTTTACGTCGTTCTCGAAATTATTTATAAGACTTTATCTGTGAGTGATGACGTCTCGAGGAATCACCTGAAGATTAGACATTCCAGTTAATTTCATCTGGAGAGTAACCACCGTAAACCTAACCTAAACCGAACTTACGCTTGCCTAACCTAACCTAACCTAAGCTAACCTAAGCTAACCGAAACGAAACGAAACGAACCGAAACGAAACGAAACGAAACGAAACGAAACGAAACGAACCGAACCGAACCGAATCGAATCGAACCTAACCCAAACTAAACGAAACGAACCGAACCGAAACGAAACGAACCAAAACGAAACGAAACGAACCGAAACGAAACGAGACGAGGGCGAATTTGAGTATATTTTGGCTTTTATCAGATTATCTCGCAAGAAGGAAATATTTATTCAGGAAATATCTCTAAAAAAAGGCAAGATTTTTATATAGTTGCTTCAGTAATACACTCTATTGGCATATAGAGGCAAGAGAAATAATATGTCTCCTTTAGTTGCTAAGATATATTACTCTTGTGGTGAGATATATTACCCTTGCGGTGAGACAACCCTCCTGTGGTGAGACATAATACCCCAGTGGCTGGCTGAGACATAATGTAATGGCGGTTAAAGTTAAGATAGATGAAGTAGGTCCGTGATAGGCGGGGTGGGACCTGAACTACCACAAGTCACTAGTCACGGTTACTAACAGGACGATAACGCTGTCAGCCAGCCGGAGCCTCTGATGATAACCTGAAGGCGGAAGTTAAACTAAACGATATGGTCTATGATCTTCACTACCTTACTGTGCTTGTGATAATGGGTGATACTGTGCTTGTGATAATGGGTGTTACTGTGCTTGTGATAATGGGTGATACTGTGCTTGTAATAATGGGTGTTACTGTGCTTGTGATAATGGGTGTTACTGTGCTAATGTGCTTGTAATAATGGGTATTATAATGGGTGTTACTGTGCTTGTGATAATGGGTGTTACTGTGCTTGTGATAATGGGTGATACTGTGCTTGTGATATACTGTGCTTGTAATAATATTATGCTTGTGGTGTTACTGTGCTTGTAATAATAGGTGTTACTGTGCTTGTAATAATGGGTGATACTGTGCTTGTGATAATGGGTGTTACTGTGCTTGTAATAATGGGTGTTATTATGCTTGTGATAATGGGTGTTACTGTGCTTGTGATAATGGGTATTACTGTGCCTGTTTTAATGGGTGTTACTGTGCTTGTAATAATGGGTGTTACTGTGCTTGTAATAATGGGTGTTACTGTCCCCACTACACCACGCCTTCACCACACGCCTTCACCATACGCCTTCACCACACGCCCTCACCACACGCCCTCACCACACGCCCTCACCATACGCCCTCACTTCACGGCCTTGTTTGTATACAGTATATGATTTGTAACCCGGACTTAGTACTCAGTGAGGCGTGGTGTAATCAATGCCCGGCTGATTAAACTGTCTGTAGACGCGTGCAAGTAATATCACCAAGACAGAAAACAGGCACTGATCACGTGGCGGTGTCGTGCGGGGCGGGTGATGGCTGACTCGTGGGAAGATTAGTAACATAAGTGACAAACGTGTGTCTTGTACCTCCAGATCCTGTGGCACTTATTTTAGGTGGAATAACAGATATATGAAGCGGAGGACGTGTAAGACGAGGTGTAAAGCCTGACACCAGCAGCTCAACTGGCTGGAGTCCTCTACCAGAGATACAGATCGAGGAATGTCAGGTTACCAGTGTCGTTAACACCTCTGGCCCACATGTCCTCTAAATCGTAACACATGTGGGTGGTGCTTATTTTAAATATATAAAATAAATAGGCAATAAGCTTAGAGACTAACTAGGTTAAAATGTCTTTCAAACACTACATACTGTATATATCTACATAATAATATTGTCATAAATTACCTGAGAATGCCACCCATCTGACACACAGCTTTCCTTGTCACTGAGGAACTCTACGTCACACTCGTACTGTGGAGTAGTAAGGGTTCCAGTGGTCCCAAGGTGTATGTACTGACACAGGCTCCTTATTAGCGCCTGGTGCAGTACAAGCATTATCTTGTATCTAAACACGCTGACGTTATCGCTCTTTGGTGTGTGAAAATCGTCGACCTTACCTGTTTAAGTAACTGCTGATCTCCCGCCACCACGAGCTGCAGCAGTAGTGACCCCCAGCTGAAGGCAGGGAGTGTTTGGCGAGAGTTATGGAGTTGTTATTGAGTGAGTGAGTGATTCACCTTCAGGTTGTGGGTCTAAGTTCTCCTCGAGGTGACTGTGTGTGTGTGTGTTCAGGTATTCTCGACCCTCAGTGTGGCCTGGCTGTCTCGTAAGATAAAACTTTGACATAGTGTATAATTATCTTAAGTGTAAATAGTAACCCTTAATTTGAACCTCACAAGAACATAAAAAAAAGATGGGAGTTTAAAGATTTTCTTGTGTCTGGTCGGGAACACCTTAAGGGGCGTGGGCGTTGAGGGAGAAAAAAAAACTGGCGTAAGTAATTTGTTTTATTTTGGTGTAATTAAATTCAGCTTGAGAATGATATGCAACTAAGTTAAAACTTTCTTGGCTTTGAGAGCTTGATACATGTCTTAATACCATTAGAGTTAACAAACATGGACTAACGCGTAGACAAACACTTATACTCGGATACACAAATTATGAAACACGTACACGGAAATACACACACGTAAGCGGACACACAAAGGCATACATTCAAACACATGCATACTTACTGTACACTCAGGCAGGCACGCTTCTTCCTAGACACTTACGGCAATCATAGCCAGACACTTGTATAAGCCACGAGAAACATGGCTAGACACACCTACCTAGACGTAGAAAAACATGGCTAGACACACACACACAAACGATGATACTAGATTAGAAATAGAAAGGCTGGGTGACCGTGAGGGGGCAGCCAACCACCTACACCTGTATCACCTAAGAGGCTATCAGTACCTCCCCCACCCCCACCCCCCCTCCCAGCCCCCCACTCTCCACCCCCTCTCCTCAGGTTTAACAGCTCTCGTCATCGTACACTGCGCATGGACTACTGCGCCTTCTCCAGGATTACTATTTAGCGGCGGGAATATAAAAGGTGTGCGTGTTCACCTGGGCGTCACACCTGTACCATCACGGGGAAAGAAGGCGAAATCTGTCTTAGTTTTTGGAGCTGGACCGTGAGTAATAGAACTTCTACAACCATAACAAGACGTAAAGAACATCAAGTGTCACCAAGACCAACTAGTATTCTGAGGTGTGTGTGTCAACAGCATCACCAGCCACCAGGGGGAGAGGAGGTTACAGAGGCAGAGGAAGACGTAATGGTTGAGGAAGGTGGTTGTGTTGATCACGCCCCTGTCATGAGGATGAAGCCACAAGACCACCTGGACCACCTGGATCAGTCTGACAACGATATTGGTGAGTGTTGGTCCTCATATAGAGAAGGTTTTGGCTTTAGGGGGAATGTTTACATTTGTCTGTGTGTGTGTGTCAGTTACACTGTTAAACATCCGCCTAGGACGATAAAATACGCTGAGAAAGACCACACGAATTAATATGCATTATAAGCAAAAAGATAATTCCACATATAAAAACATAAGTATCTTAGTGTGACACATAGAGAAATATAAATCATACATGTACATAAGTTAGATACATTCAAGTAACACATTCATCCATATAACACACACACACACACACACACACACACACACACACACACACACACACAGAGGAGGGCCATATTTCTTTATTCTTCATAATATATAAGGACACTGTAGTCATTATTCTTCCTGTATAAACGAATAGGTAATATTTTATTTGTATGGGTTTCCTTCACCTGGATCTGAAATTTGACAGTTTGTGAAGAGTACAGACAGGAAATACGGACTATAACTGCTATTGCCTCCACAGACCCCGCCACCGTCAGCCTTCTGTCAGCGACTGATATCACCTACAGCAGTGGCAGACGTAACAATACCAGTAACAGTAGCAAGAGCAGCAGTAACAGTAACAAGAGCAGCATTAACAGTAACAAGAGTGACAGTAACAGCAACAATAACACCAGTAACAGTAACAAGAGCAGCATTAACAGTAACAAGAGTGACAGTAACAGCAACAATAACACCAGTAACAGTAACAACAACAGCGGCCACAATTTTAATGAAAACAGCCGCTCGTCCACCAAGAAGAAACAGCACGAGAAGGGTGACAAGAAGGAGGACCTGCTCTTCACCTCCACCTTACTCTCCTACCTGTCTGTTAACCAGTGATAGAAGAGTCAACCAATCATGGAGGTGTTAACCAACCACGGATGTTAACTTATCACACGGATGTTAACCAACCAGGGATGTTAACTTATCACTCGGATGTTAACCAACCAGGGATGTTAACGTATCACACGGATGTTAATCAATCATAGAAGTGTTAACCAATCAGGGATGTCAATCAATTATAGAGATGTGTTGGTTTAGGGAATACGTTAATGACCCCCTAGAGTGAAGTGTCCCGCCCCAGCAGTACTTATGTTAACAGGAACACATAAGTATACGGCGGTGAGTGGTGTCTGTGTGTGTGTGTGTGTGTGTGTGTGTGTGTGTGTGTGTGTGTGTGTGTGTGTGTGTGTGTGTGTGTGTGTGTGTGTTGATAGATCATTATGCTGTAGCTCTTTGTTATATAATACTACTTAATTTATTAAGACATAATACTAAGTAATTTTTGCTCTTCATTATCTTGGAACATTTTCACACTTGATATACACTGTTATTGTAGTACAAACTTGTGGACTGTAGCCAAAGATTATAACCACTGATACATAATTGTATTGCAGTAATCCGCGTTGTTTGATTTTCTTTATTTTATCCTCCGTGCCACGTGTTAGCTTACTGTTGTTACACACTGTTGACAAGTACTGGACACGTAGAGAATCTTGAGTGTACCTGGACATGTGTCAGTGTTGGTCAAGTGTGGTCTTAAAGGAACTCACAACCTGCCAGTGTTGTCACAACACTGGCAGGTTGTGAGGTCACAACTCTTACTCTAAAGAAGTTGGTGCTGGCATTTGCTGTACTGATAGCTTCTTTAACTTGAAACTGTGACCTCTAATGGGGCGGCCATCCACTAGTTTGAGACTGAGCATTTACCTGTATGAGAGGGTAATGCTGTAAGAGAATAGTACCACGTTGTATCTTATTAACTCAACAACACGACCCAGGAGTGTGGGGACGGCACCGAGTGTGAGCTGGTTTAACGAAAGACTTGATCAACACTGTCGCGTCTTCCTGGTACATTTCAGAGCCCGTTCATATCCAGTACCTGCCACCAGTGCGTAACAGAGAAATGACCGACTGCTTGACTGAGCTGACCTGTGGCTATTAAGTCTACGGTCCGAGTTACACCTGGAGACTTAACAAGAAAGAAAATGAGGGTGGAGTTAAGGGGAGACTGTGGAAGGTGTTCCAGGTCTCTGTATCTTTTTGGTATCGTTTATTTATCGGTTCATCACTTATCAGCCGAATACCCGTTCGGAAGGGGTGGTTGGCCTGTTCTTTGTTACTTTGTTATGAACTTTGTTGTCCAGTGTTAGTGCAGCAGGAAACTGGAGTACTCTGAGGAAATTTGTGATGCTTGGTAGAGAGGGTCACACTGGATAACACTCTTCTATCTGTAACGAGGCAGGACTCAAACCCAGGACACAAGTTGAGAGATACGCTTTTTAATATACAGTACAGTACCAAAATATAAGACTGTCCAGTATGTACATATGGGACACAACAAACTGACACACAAGTATTATGTGATTAAAATTTTCTGGGAAACTGTTGATAATTATTATTATATTATTGATATGTTTTATTTTATAAGATACATAAATTTTGTCGTAAGACCTTTGATAAAACACACACACACACACACACACACACACACACACACACACACACACACACACACACACTACATCCTTGACCACCGAAGGGTCAAGACGTACCTGGCGCTCCTCTCGGAGCAGCCAGGTCAACTAAGTTGGCCCATACCAACTCCCTCCCCTGAACCCTCCTCCCCACCGGAATATCAACAAGTTCTCGCCAGAAGTTACAATTTCATTTAGGAAAGGAATGGAACCAGTGTTAAACAGAGGTGAACAGTGGTGAACAGTGCTTAAGTCAGTGAGAACAACTCAACAGTAACAGTCGTACCCAAGTTAACCTTCACACAGTGAGGTCCCAGGTACCCAGTGATAACGGCCTCATAACACCATCTGTGGGGAGTTACTACACCACAGGCCCTCATAACACCATCTGTGAGGGAATTACTACACCACGTGAGGCCCCTCATAACACCATCTGTGAGGAATTACTACACCACGTGAGGCCCTCATACACCATCTGTGAGGAATTACTACCACGTGAGGTCCCTCATAACACCATCTGTGAGGGAATTACTACACCACGTGGTCCCTCATAACACCATCTGTGAGGGAATTACTACACCACGTCAGGTCCCTCATAACACCATCTGTGAGGGAACTACTTCACCACGTGAGGTCCCTCCTAATACCATCTGGGAGGGAGTTACTACACTACGTGTTTGCTGTTCAACACCTACAATAATCTGTATGTTCACTGTATGTTCCTTTACCTTTCTCTAATGAAGGCTTTTGTTAAACCACCAATGTATGTAATAAGTCATTTATATCCAATGTATATTTTCAGCCTTCGGACTGCAGAACTTTTTCAATAAACCGTCAATTATTATTATTATTATTATGATTATTATACACACACACACCTCTCTACATCGTCCTCACCTTCAGAAACTAATCCTCTTGAAGTGAAGTTCCACATATTCAGATGAAGTGACATTACATCCTACACCCACACCTCTACACCCACCCCTCTACACCCACCCCTCTACACCCACCCGTCCACACCCACCCCTACACCCACCCCTCTGCACCCACCTCTACACCCACCCCTCCACCCACCCTCTACACCCACCCCACACCCACCCCTCTACACCCACCCCTCTACACCCACCCTCTACACCCATCTCACCCCCCCACACGCACCTCCACACTCCACCCTCTACACCATCCCTCTACACCCACCCACTACACATCACTAAAACACCATCACTAAAACACGATCACTAAAACACCATCACTAAAACACGATCATTAAAACACCATCACTAAAACACCATCACTAAAACACCATCACTAAAACACCATCACTAAAACACCATCACTAA